TAGTATAGTAGACGCACTAGTATATATATATATATATATATATATATATATATATATATATATAAACGAGAAAAAAAAAAAAAAAAGGAATGTCCCCTATTACATAGTTTTTGTTTTTTTTTTATCTCCTGTCATGGGCAAAAATCTCCAAACAAAATAGCCCAAGTATAGTTTCCAGTTACCATTCAAAAATTAAAGTAATTGAGCCAGCCAATTCCAGATGATGGATACTAACACACAAACACAATGGTCTACTTTTTTATAGTATGATTATATGACCAGTAAACAATAAACAGTAAAAATGATGGAATGAAAAGACCAATCACACAAGAACCTGCAAGAAAAAGGATATGAAAATTCTTTTTAGCAGACCTGATACATGCATGTAAAAAAAAAATCTTGAAGTACTCTCATAATATACAACAGCATAGAAATACATATTAACTCTACCTGTTTAAAAGTCCTTTCACCTGTTTTCTTAGTCTTTCTAGTTCTTTTTTCTTCTTTTCATCTTCCGTTTTAGCTGGAAGTCTCTTGGCAGGAGGAACATACTTTGTATCTGTCTGAAATTTACCGAGTTTTATAACATTTCCTTGTTTGTCTCTTAGTCGACCATAAATGTCTTCCCAATAATCATTCTTTTCACTTTTATCAACTGAAGAATTTTCATTATTGTGATCTTCACTGCTATTCAGTTCTTCATCTGAATTAATTTTTTTTACTTTCTTTATTAATGGCTCAGGAGAGCTCTCATTATGCCTCTTCTTTCCTTTTCCAGTTGCTTTAGTTGTATCTGTGGTGTAATTTTCTTCATTCTCACTCACTGAATCATGACAATTTTCTTGTCTCAGTATTATTTCTTTTTTTTCAGCTAATATTGAAACCTTTTCATTTTCTACTTCATACTCTTTTGTTCCGTACAATTCCGTACATTTGTTCCGTACAAGCTTTTCTTCTTCTGTAAGACCTAAATTATCTGCCCAATTAACACACTTTTTCTTTTTTGGGGCTTTCTTTTCACTGAGATCATTACAATTTTCATAAAGTGAATGTTTCTCATATTGTACATGAAAATAGTCAGTGTTATCTTGACCAGCAGAAATATTCTGATCATTGTCATTATCGCTAATGTTAGGTTCACTATGAAAATTACTTACAAAATCATCTTCATGCCTAATATTTGTATCTTTTAAACTTTTGGCTTTCTTTGACTGTTTTGAAAACTCTTCAGTACTTTCTTTCATGCTACCAGTTGTTTTTTTTCCAAGAGCTAGAGCTAAGTCATCCTCAAGCTCAGAGTCCATGTCACTAAGTTCTTTGGTAAATGATGCATCTTCAGGATTATCAATGACTTCTAATATATCTTGAACAATCATTAAAGATTAAGCTACAAAAACATATTAAACCTTAGACATATCTAAGCTATCTATATATACAAAAAAAGAGAGAAATACACAGACACACATAATAATACATGTCACCAACATTTATGATAAGTAAACAATATGAAAGTTAATTACCCTTTGGCATAAATGGTTCATAATGAATATTATATTGATATCAAATATTAACTTATTGGATCAAACAAACTTTGTATCTTGTGAAAAAAATTAAAATCTTAATCTTGTAATCATCTGTGTATTTATTTATGTATAGAATTAAAAATCTAATCTTTGTTCCATGGAAATTGTCAGTATCAAGATCGCAATGAATACTAATCTTTCTCAAAATCCAATTCATTTGAAAAGGATTTTGTTTGAATAGAAGTACAGTTAATTAGCATATCTTATCAGTGTAAGTAATACAGTAAAAGGTCACAAGTGAAATAAAAAATATATATTTCTTCTTTCACAGCCAATCAAGTAACTCTTGAGTGTTATAGCTTACATTAAATTTAATTAATCAATAATTTCCTAACACATCCTGTTGTGATAGGTTCAACAAAAACTTTATTTTCATGTGCTTTTCAAATATCTCTAATTATGTGTATGTGGTTAATTATTACAAAAGGATACATATTTTTCACATTATTAGTAAAATGCCCATATAACAATAGTTTTTCAACGTGTATGCTTTACATGTGGGTTCAATGAGGACTGCTCTTTATTCAGACAGACTGTTAGTCCAACATATCAATATTAACTGAAATATAGAGACACCCCAAAAGTAAATAGACACCATGATATTTATTCAATAGTCATTTAATTAAGAAAGGCATACAACAGCTCCCATGGCCAAGTCAGTCACCTGATATGAACCCCATCGAGCATGTCTGGGCCATACTTGCTTGAGCAGTGAGAAGAAGTTCCAGAAAACCAGCATCCCGTGGAGTGCTACTTGATGTTTTGCGTGCAGCCTGGGTCAAGATCCTACAGGAGAAAATTGTAGAACTCATCGATTCCATGCCAGAACGAGTCAAAGCACTGAAAAATGCTAGTGGCAAATCAAATAAGTACTGATGCACATTTGTAAACATTTTTATCAAGTTAATAATGTGAGATAAATAACTATTGAAAGAAATCATGGTGTATATTTACTTTTGAGATGTCTCTGTAGTGCTTCTGATTTGCAGTGTTTATTTTTAGCTGTTTTAGTTTTATTTAGATATCTTAAAATTGATAATTTTTTGGAGTTTTCAACTTTAATATTATAATGAGTATACTAATATACTCTACATACTAATTTCTCTTATGGGAGCAATAACAGGTACAAAACATAGTTCTATTTATGTTAAAGCTTTGAAAGAACATCTAAAATTTTATATGACATTATAAAATAAACTTACCACTAATGGATAAGACATGTCCCTTTTCCTTCAGAGTGATATACCCATGCTATCTGGTACATATGAAAAGGGTTAAATCTCACAAGTACAGTGACTTGGGAAAGTGGGGACATTAATATAAACTGAATAATCATTCCTGGTGTTTATTGGAGAAACACAAGTTTCTCTTTATTTTGTATCAGGGATGTTTTATCAGTGTTTATTGGTTAAAACCTAAAATAAGAAGCACTACTGATATACAGCATCAGGACACCAGTGTGAGCATTCCTGGTTTTGGTAAGATTCACAAGCTATAGAGGCCACAATAACAGAAAATTTGTGTATTTGGCTGTTGCTGCCTGTCACCAGCTACAACAACATGGGCTGTTGTAACACATACATGCTGTCAGTTCTAATATAATTAAATATTTATACACTTAAACTGAGAAAAATTTAAAGCAAGATTTAAAAAAGTAGAGGAAAAAAAGGATACAGTCCAAGCCTTCATCAACAAAAGATTTGGGCAGTTTTTTACTTTTCCTACGATTTAAATGAATTTTTTTTTCCAGTTGTTTAATCAACCTATCTTCTTCCTTATTAGCTTCTAACAATTGCAGTTTTCGCACTTCTTCTACCTATAGTTATTAAAAATGTTGTGTACATGCATTATTTTGAAACAAAGTAAAATTAAAGCTATTTCGAAAGTAAAATACTGTTCAAAATTGTATTACTTCAAGTGGATTCACTTTTAAACTGGATAACAGATGTAATATACCATTAAATCCATTTTCACTTAAAAAAAAAGGAAAACAGAATGAAATCTTAATATTAGCAGTTTTTAATGCTTGATGATTAACACTTCTACTCCTTCAATATCCACTCTATTACAGTGATTCACAAACTAGTACAATTCTTACTGTAACTACTGCACTATATGTACATTTTTATACTAAAAGAACCTTCAAGCCAGTTTTATTTTGACCAATCAAAGATTACTAGACGTGCGGAAAAAGGGCAGCCTGCAATAATCAATGTGAGAACCACTATAAATCATTTTTCTTTGATAGGGTATTTTTAAATATGGCACTGCTTTGATACATAATAATTATTATTATTATTGTAGGCTATGTTTATTATTAATTTAGGTCTTTTTATTGTTTTACCAAAGGAAGGTTTGATAAGAAAGGCATTGCTTCATAACTAAAGCTTTTTGAAAGTTGAGAGAAATTTGAACAAAAAATACCAGTAGGATTAGAACTAGTGAATTCGATTATTTAGTTAAGTAATTTGTGTTTGACTGGTTATTGAATTAGTTTGTCTGTTCCAATTAATTACATTTTGTGAATATTGAGTAGGGCTGGGTTGATTTAATTGATTAGTGAACAGCAATTACAACAATTAGTGCAATGTAAACTAACTTATTAATTGACTAATGTCAAGAAGATAATCAACTAATCCAGATTAGTATTTCTGATAATTAATGTCCAATCATTCCAACAACCCAAGTCATTGAAATATTCATATAGTAGAAATGGCCAACATGGATATTAATTTTTTTTTATTTAAAACACAAAATAAGTAATAACATTTCACTTCCTTCAGTCATCATCTTAACCTAATAATGACCTAAGGAGGTTTCTAATAGCCATATCAACTATCTTTACTATGTATATATACATATTTACTTCAAGTTAGTTCCTCATCTTCATGAATTAATTGAAATATTATCATTATGCTTGTCTCTGGTTAAGTATAAAGACAGATCATGCAAAGGAGGCCCACTCATGATTTGAGTCAGATTCACATTGATGCTAAACTTGCTCACCCTATCTTTGTTATTATAAAAATGCTGCTGTTATTTATATTAATCTGCCAATCATCTCACTACTTAAGTTTGAAATAAAGTGCAAATTTGCTGTTTATTACAGTATCATGTTTCTAACTTATACCTGTATTTTTAAATGTTCATTGCTGTATAAGCAGGCACAATCTGGGGAAGGGGTCCAAGAGGCCTGTACCCCATACCCCTACTTTCCTGAAATTAATAACTATTATTCAATGTTATATAAATATGCACAGATCTAACAGGGGGCCAAACCCCCCTATTTTTTCAGAAATTAATAAAAAGCAGATAGATATCTTTACACTACCATAGAGTATCAAAACGAAATATTAAGTGTCTTTATTTCATCTGATTCGACTATTAATTACCATAAAAACTTTTCTGAAGTTTTCTCAAATCAACACAGTAATCCATTAAGGCCTCAACTATTAATTGATTATTTCTAAGCTAATATGATAATATGACCATCATTTATACTTTACAACAGTAAATTTTTGAACCTCAGTTATTTTTCCAGTTGTTCTAACAATGTTTCTAGACTTCAGAGATTTGTTTTAATCAAAATTAGTATTTTTACTGCACCTGCAACTCTTATAACATGTAAGCTTGTTACACAATGGACTTTTCATATTGTTGATGTCTGAAATAAGCATGAATGCAAACAGTATGACTGTGTAAGGACATTAAAACACTTTTTTAAAACAAGCATCCTGTTTACTAATGTTATATATTATTTCTAAATGCAATTATAAACAAACTACTTCACTTTAATTACAAAATCTGAAAAAGTTTGTTTTTAACTGTTATTGTTATATCAATCACATTACTAGAATTAAAGATATAAGCTTTGAATTAATTGAATTATAACATGACCAAGCTAATTATTTACAGATTATATATTAACACTATTTTAACTTTAACATATAGCTGTATTTAGATCACTTTAGGAATGTGTGTTCAACATTGGTTAATCCAAAATACCATATTATTAATTATAGTGGATGTATCTTCATGTAAAAATACTGAAAATTTGGTTAAAGTGTTACACATTTAACTTTTAAAAAGTTAACTGGTATTATGCTATCATTGTAAAAGTGTAACATTACTACAGCTAGCATAGAGAAGTTAACTGTTTTTACTTCTTAAAAGAATAACACTGTATCATCTGGATACTTTCTAGTTTTATTATTATTCATTTGCTAATGGTTTTAAAACAGAAAAATAAAGTGATAACTCTCAAAAGTGTCATTTTACAAGATAAACTGATGTTATTCTATTTTCTATGTTGTTTAATTTTCAACTTAGTCTACTTGAAGAATGTCCAAAATACTGTTTTTTTTACTTTGGCTAAGTTACATATTTGCCTAATAAATAAAATGAGTCATGATTACTAGCAAATGTACTTGTTTCATGCACAGTGAAAGCCTTACAAGTTGTTTTTTTTTCCAAAATATGCGAGTGACAACATAAGTCGTGTGGTTGTTTGGTGTTTTATGGCACAAAGCAACTAGGCTATTTGTGCCAAACAATTGATAAAAACAGTAAAAGTAAATTGTAATAAAATTTAAAAATACAGCGAGTTAAAAACCAAAATATGTCCAAAATTCAGATAAAAGATTTATATACAATTAAAAAGGACAATTGTTCTTAAAAAATTAAAATATAATCAAGTTGGACAGTGTCACCATCGACAATGACACTGTCCAATGTCAGGGGTAAACCCTGACAAAACATGTGTCGAAAATAGTGCCGCTGCTCACGGTTGTAATGACGGCACAACATTAAAATGTGGGCTATTGTGTCTTGAGTGTCGCAAAGGCTATACATATATGGGTCAATACCAGATAAAGAAAACAATGAACTAAAAAAACTGTGACCAATGCTTAGCCTTGCCAGGACAACTTCCTCCTTCTGATCCTTACAGAAGCAAGACAGCCAAAGAGCAACACAAGGCTTGATCTGAAAAAGCTTGTTATGATGTTGCTCACCCCAAGTCGACTGCCAACTGGCATGAAGCCGTGCCTTTAAAACAGGACTGTAGTCCATGTATGGGACAGGCACGGCTGTCATGGCACTAGAGCAGACAGACTTAGCTGCAGTATCAGAGAGCCTGTTCCCGTTAATACCGACTTGGCCAGGATGGAAACGGAAGATAGAGAAAAATGGGCCAGTCATTGTTGAATATCGACAATAAAAGGGTGAGAACTAACGTTAAGCAATTCCAGGGCCAGTAGAGAGTTAAGAGAATCAGTGTAAATAGTACAATCACTGTACTGCATAGCTTCTACATGATCCAAGGCAAAATAAATAGCATACAACTCGGCAGTGAACACAAAAACTGTAGAGGGGATCCTGCAAGCAACTACCGAGCCACAGCAAACCATGGCCTACAGAGTCACCAGAGTTTGAACCATCCGTGTAACTAGGAAAAGAAGAATGGCTCAAAAGATGTTCACCAAAAAAGAAGATGGTACTTCCAATCGGGAGTATCCGTCTACCTCAGATGACTCAGGGAAAGGTCACAGGCATGATAATAAGCCATGGCAGAATGGGCTGATCATTGGAGACAGCAACGTCATCCAATGCCAAACCCAACTGTGCCAGTTGTGCCCAGGTACGAAGGCAAAAGGGAGGAATGGCAGACCATCTGTTCTGAAAGAGCATGGCCCACTGAGGAAGAAAGACAAAATCCCAGATGGAATGCTGTGGTAAGGATCGAAGCTTGGTAGCATATTGTAGAGAAAGTTGCAAATGACATTGTACAAACTATGGACTGGAGAAGTGTGAAAAGCCCCAGTGCAGGGCCAAAGCCCTAGATGGTGAACGAGGTCCAGCATCTTGAAGGCCGAGATCCTGGCAGAACCATAGACCCATAGTCCAGTTTGGATCGAATCAGGGCATGATAGATCCTGAGCATAGAACATTGATCTGCTCTGTAAGAGGTGGAAGAGAGGGCATGGAGGATGTTCAGAGCCCTTGCACACTTGACACGCAGCTGCTTGATGTGTGGAATGAAGTAAGCTTTGCCTCAGGGACCACACGAATAACAACATTGCTGAGATGGAGACCCCGTTGGCGGCAAAAATGCATGCAAATGGTTTTGGAAAAGGAAAATGTAAAACTATTTACAGTGGTCCACGTCAACAAGCGATTGAGGGCAGTCTGAAGCTGCCACTCAATAAACCTCATGTTCGACGACTGACACGAGATGTGGAAGTCGTTGATAGAGCCAATTTGCAACAGTTGGAGGAAGGTGAGAAGTGATAGCATTAATTTTAACACTAAAAAGTGTGACACTTGAGACACAGTCCTGAGGGACTCCAAGTTCCTGCGGAAAGGAACGGGAAAGAGTTGAACCCACACAGAATTTAAGTCACCTGTCCAGTAAAAAGTTCTGAATAAAAATGGGTAAATGGTCACACAACCCACAGGAGTAGAGGTCCTGCAAAATGCTATACCTCCATGTAGTGTCATAAGCCTTCTCAGGATGAAAGAACACGTTATTTAGCTTCTATTAACCAAGAAACCACACACTTCTTATTTTTAGGATATTTAGAATTTTTACCCACCCAACCTAGCATGTAACATTTAATGTGCCTTGGATTATTTAGCAATATAATTTTAAGGCACTGAACCATTAACATCTTACAATATAATTCTATTAAACTTTGTTTTCAAATGAAAACTTACAGTTTTGTAAGTTTTCTTTCTTTTCCTTGTTTTAATACTTGTGTTCTTTGTAGATAAATTCTGTTCAACATTTGATTCCTTGGAAATACTGACATCCTCCCTTTGGCTTGAGTTATTTGTTCCAGGTTCCTGTGAAAATAATGTCAAAAACTACATTTCATGGCTAATACATCAAAACAATATTGAAACAGTAAATATGCATCTACATTAATAAATACTTTATTTTAAAAATCAACAAATGTTAACATGCCAGGATGTATTTCAAATATCAAAAGACTATAAGCACTACAAGCATATCAGTAAAGAAAATGCTTACAAACTCATAATTTTAAAATTAAGTAACTCAACATCACTTATGCTATCACACATATTTATCTACTACAAACAAAGAACATTATCTAGATTAAACAAACAAGTTCAAAAATTTAAACAAGTCTGAAACTTAACATGATTGATGTCATTAAACATATTTATTCACTACAAACAAAGGACATTATCTAAACCAAGCATTCAAGTTCAAGTCAGTCTGAAACTTATAAGTTTGAAGTTATACAATTTTTCATTTTTAAATACAAGTGTTCTAAATAAATTATTCTGCAATTGTTATTACTAATAACTTATTAGATACAGTATATTCATCATTACAAAATTTTGTGGACATGGCTCATTCTCTTTTTGATCAATCAAAAATCAAAAAGTCCTTAACACAAACTATTACCAAAGAATAAGTTTTATTGTTGGTTGACCCCAAAATAGGCTTTTATGCTTAGGTACAAGTAAACATTATACATTTACAATTGAAAGCATAGCATGTCATTGTATAATAGCCATATTTTAAAGCAATGATAACTCTGTTTTCACACATTTTCCCCAAAATAGCAAACTAACAGGCTATGCCCACAGACATAAATGTCCACTTTTATGCTTCTCAGTTGCAGTAGTCACATAACTATCATGTACCCTATATGTTACAGTACTTGCACAAAGATATATGTCTGTTAGGGCACAAATCACATTTCAAGGTGTAATATCTTAAGACATGACATAGGTACTTAAGATATTCATCAAACTATTTATGCACTTCAAGTTTAACATTATAAATTGTTGTTGAATTTATTACTAATAGTACTTTTTTGGGAGTTTGGTTGGAAAATGATATTTTTCATTCACTAAATCATAACTATTTACCTTAGGATTTCTTATTTTGTTCATACACATATGTACATTACATCAAGTGCATCAAATAAGTTTTATTGTGAAATGTTTGATGATTTTTAAACTAATTCTGAGCCAAAATTTTGGAGTTAAAACTTAAACCTATGTGGCTATGCCATTATGTACCGTGTTTGTTAAAAATGCAAAAATTGAACACAAATATGCTACCTACTTCCACATCATCCTGCGAGTTTTTATCTGGAGCCATACTCTTGTTTCTATTCATAAAATATGACCGTCTTTTTGACTTCTGGTCAAGTCTTTTCTGTTTTCGATCTTCCTTCCGTGATAACACACGAGTTTTAAAATTAAAGGAATTTGCTTCTTTAATACCTTGCCCTCGCTTTCTGCCAGTATTACTACTCATAAAACTTGTTTGTTTTAAAAAATCATACTCAGCATCATCTTTAGAAATAAACCGAGGAGATGAATTTGGAATTTTCCCTAAATAATCAGTTCCCCTAATACTTATATTACTATTACTAGGCCTAGCCGGATCGTTGACATTGCCCGATGACAAATTTGCATCAATTTCTGTATTTTGTAATGAAAAATAATTCAAAACTTCCGTCCGGTAGCGATAAAGAGGAGTCTTAATTTTCTTTTTGGCCATTACTGTAATACTTATTGCCTAAATCTCAATACATTAAAAGTAGATTGGTTTTCTCCTAACATGAGTTCTTTCTAAAAACAAACACTTTCTCGCCCGTCCACAACGCTAAACCTGAAATACTTTGTGAAATAAATTACGCTAATTACACGTGGGATAAACGCCTTCTACAGTGTTTCTGTGTCAAAATTTATTTTATTAAATTTGATTTTATTGTACCTTTTGGTATCAGATATATTTAAGTTACTGTTCTTTCTCACTTACCTCTAAGCAAAAGTACTTCTTTAATATAAATGCTAGTTTGTAAAATTGAATAGTAAATATATGCTTTGTGTAGAATTTAAATGTCCTTTTCCATAATAATCTGATCATGAATAGGTATATTTAGAAGAATAGATGTTTTTTACTTAATAGTGGGATCAATGTCCTTTGGCTACTGTGCTTGTTCTTAGAAG